CCCCACACCTACCCACACTCAGACCCACACCCACCCACCCACACCCACACCCAGCTCAGAGATACTGTCTGTAGTTAAAATTCTTCTATTACAAGTTAAGTTTCGACTTCTTGTAACACTGAAGATACATCTTGTTTTGGATTTTTGTTCAAAAAATTCAGAATAGATAAGCCATCTGAATGAGTCCCTTAGTCCGGACGAAACCGGTCATGGCAGCTCAGAGGTACTTAATGAATTATTAAATCAGAAAGACATATTACTATTTATTCGTCAACTAACACAACTCGTCAATAAATTAAACTATTCTCAATTACAAAACGAACAATGGGCTTACTATCATAATCTAGGCATTACAGAAGGTATCTGGACCGGACGAGTATCGAAAAAAATGGCTGAAGGTAGTTCAATGTGTTACACATATGGTCGATCAAAAGTGTTAATCAAACAACGTCTTCAGAAATATAAACTACAATGTGAAAAAGTCCAAGATGCTATTCATGAACATATGAAACAAATACCTCCCAATATTGACATGACAATTATTACAAATATGATAAATAATTTAATCAATAATTATCAAAGTCAACTTCGTCATGAACTTGATCGACGAAAAACAATGCTCCGACTAGATGCTGAAGAACATAAACTCGTAGACATTTTTTACAATCTGAAGCCAAGACAAACAGAAGTAAGCATGCGAAACCTTCACATATATATGCAATATGCCAAAAAATCTTTAGATACATTCAGCAAAAATCAAATGGAAAGCTATACATGAGCAACAAGGAATCCTACACGAAATTGCGATATTTCAAAAATGGCTTCAACTTCATAGGCCAGCATCATCATGTACAGTCCCGGATATACCATTACCAACAATAAATCGTATATTCACTTTATTAGTTATCAATGAAAACCCTTCATCCACCGAACATATGGCTAAAGAAACAATAGCAAGAGCCGAAACAGTTGCAAAGCAATACGCAAACATTGCAGCAGCAGAGAAAACTAAACTGCAATTAACAAGTACCAATCGTAAAAATGTCCAGCTACTCGATCAAATCATCATAGCTATCTTTAGACGTGAAAACAACATGCAACAACGTGGTACATATCAATTAAAACGAAAAGTTGAAATCATCTTCAATCAAACCCAACTAGAAACGGAAGCATTCAAATAACACAACGAATAAAAAAAAACTTTATAAAAAACTCATTGCATCAACTCAAACGCAAACCTATCATACGCTTCTCGAAATAAAGATAACGAAATATTTAAAAAATATCACAAGTCATACCCATTACATACATGGGTAAATCCGCCGGGTTTCTACCACTTTCAGGGAAAAAATTTTTTTTTTCAAATTTAATAGGCTAGTTAGACGGGGCGTCGTCGAAAACGGTCTGAGGTAACAATTAAAATCTTTTTACTCATGAAAAG